GAGAACAGAAAATCAAAGTTTTTCAACCCTTGAAAAATTGAAAAATTGAAGAATTGAAGGATTGCAGGGTCGGAAAAGGAAAAATTGAAAAATTGAAGAATTGAAGAGTTGAAAAACTGAAAATTGAAAAATTCGTTAACGGGAGAACTTTGTTCGGCTTGAAGTGATCTAACGTCGATCTCCATAAGGAAGGAGAATAAAATGGAACGCAGAAGACACTGGACCATCGGGGATTAAGCACGTGAAATACGGTGATCGGTAGTTCAGTGTGTCCAACCCGAGTCAAGTGCTCCAGATTCGCGAGCCAAGGATGGCGATTGCAACAATCTTGGTGCAGATGCCCCGGGGGCAACACAGATTCCCATATCTGCGGGAACCGAACACGCGAACGAGCTTAGAAAGTAAGTAAACTTCTATGTGGCAGGGCTATGCCGCCGGCTGTTGCCTGGTTAATTATTTAATTATACAGACCACGGTGGCAGCAACCGTGTTACGGAAGAGATCTGAGCACCAGCAACCCCTGTTTAACGGAACGTGATGCTAAATCGAACGAGGGTTTCGATTCGGAAGAGTTCAGAGTTCGTCTCTTTTGTAAGATAGGTATCTGTTTATGTAAGTACACTCCCGTTCATAAGTTTTAGGACACATACAGCCATACCAGTGACGATGTGATCCTACTAGATGCTGCTTTGAACAAACTTTTCATTCATAACTTTCGATCGTCTAGAATTTATAATTGCTCAAAGGATGTTCACGGTATGGCTGTTATTTTTTAAAATGAAACAAGTTTTTAGTTATGACGAAGTTTCAATCACCCTACTGGATAGTACTGCTTTAACCCTTATATCAATAACCAGAATTGTCGTCTACTTTATCGTCCAATTTTAGTAATTTTCTGATAAGAAAATTCTAAACTTGAGGCAAACACGAACTACTTTATCGTCCAATTTTAGTAGTTTTCTGATAAGAAAATTCTAAACTTGAGGCAAACACGAATAAGCACGGATATTTCAATCTTTTACCTGGAAGATCAAATATTTTAAGTGAGAATTATACAAAAGGATACCTAGGTTATTGAGTTAAGGGTTAAACAAACTTTTCATTTAACATTTTATTTTTTCATTCATAATTTTAGACCGTCTGCAATTTATAATTCCTCGGCAGATGTTCTCAGTGTAGCTGTTATCTTTTAAAATGAAACAATTTTTAACACATGACAAAGTACATGTACACTCCCGTTCGTAAGTGTCAGGACACTTACTGGCTGTGAAGCAAACCTAAACAGTCATTATGAAATTACGCATTAAGATCGAAAACAAACGATTCAGCCTGAAATCTCGTAGTACATCAAGTATGTAGGGGGAGTTCCCCTAGCACCGGACGCTTGAGGTTTTTCTTAAATAAAACTCTCTACCTGTGCACACGCGACTGAAACACGTAGAAAACTTACTTTTATTCCTTTTGTCTCCTCTAGGAGATACGCAGAATAACGGCTCGGTAGCGTTTCAATTAATGCAGATATAACTAATGTCCGATATTAGGTGCCCTCCGGCGTTAAGGGAACTCCCCCTACATATCGTCGGTTTGCTAGAAAAATTCGTTAATTTTCAGATATCTGCAAAAAATAACTGTAAAAGTGGATGATTTTTACCTGAAAGAACATCGCTAAAATGAAAATGAGAATTATAGCACTTAACAAGAATAATGACACAATTCAAAATAGGGCTGTTTTAATCCTCTTTTCTTTTTTAACAGTGACCAATACATAATGAACAATATTTTATTCGAGACCCCCGAAACCCACACGCTATTAGCTAAATTGTAAAAGAAGAAACATTTTTTCATTACCAACTAGTCGAGTAATTAATAATAATTTCTACCATATAAAGAAGGTTTCAAAATGGTTCCCTGAAAAATGTGTTTTTGTCAGTTGTGTCACTCCTCTGGCAAACCAACGATATAATACTTCGCGTATGAATATAATGGGTGTCCTAATACTTATGAACGGCAGTGTATGTCGGTATTATAGCTTGAAACGAGAAAGTTCAGTCGAAAAAGTGTTGAGAACTAGAGGAGGAAGGCGAAAGTTATATTGTACATATAAGCTGAATAGATCCCGATTGAAGAACATTTCAAACAATAAAGTCATTAAACAGATATGCATTCGTTTGCTTGGAGAATTAATGCGTTTAATCTCGTTTCGTAATGCCCACCCATTTCTGTGGAAACTGTTATACGCACGCAGTAGAAAAACGTTTCCGTATACCTCGTTAGAATATATTTTGCATTGTACAATTGTACACAGAGAAAGTAGTACAGACAAATAATATTTAAACGAACATTAACTATTAAGCTGTTGCAGATGAGATGACCGTCTGCAGTTTTCATGATCTACCGTTTCGAAAAGTTCATTTGTCACAGTAACTGTTCGAAACGATATTTAGAAATGGTATTTTATTTGAAGGATATTGAAAACAATCAAGCTTTATTTTGGAATATTTGATTTATCTTAATTTACTTTCAATTTAGTCGTAATTCGTAATTAAGCGAGTAGCCTAAGCGACGAAAAGTACAGATTTTGTTACATGCGAATAATCGTGCTTGGACTAAAAATAAAATTTGCTTATTTACTGTGTTATATCGTTCCCTTTTTCAATTTATTCTCATTGTGAAGAAATATTTGAAGTATCTGCATACATTTGAGATACAAGGTGAAGATATTTCATTTTACGCTCGAGATTGTTAGAATAGAAATATGTACTCCGTTTGCCGAAATTTCGCTTCCTATTTAAAGTAGCATTTTATCTGAGCCATATACGTAGCATTCATTATTTAAAATAGCATTTCAAATATTTTTTCTCTAAATTTTACCCAGTTCTGGTTTCGATACGCCTTGATCATCGTAAAACAAGGTTATCTTGGAAACCTCTTCGTTTCTATTTCACTATTAAACAGCAGATGGTTTCAGTTAACTTTAAGCTTTGATTTCGTTAAGTTTAGCAACTTCTAGATTTAAATTGATGCCTAAAAAGTGTTATTACGCAGTTGTGAAATCGGCCATTTAATATGCAACAATCTAATATTAGTACAAAAAGAAAAAAGAAAAAAGAATCATTTACATTCGTTCGTTAATAATTAAACAAGTAGATATAAATGTAAACAGATATTTTCCATTACTTACTTATAAACAAGAAACTAGCTTGTATTCGCCTTCGAAGACACGATTACGGACATTTTCCTGAATTCTTAGACACTGTACGGAAATTCTTTTTCATCTCGTTTCCGTTACACCATTCTTTTCCCTTAGTTTAATCCTTGACAAATGAATGTAAATGATTTTACTTTCTGAATAAAATAACGTAAATATTATCGATTCGCTAGCTTCTCCGAATAAGTTCTGATTCTGTACAGAGACATTTCTGAGTGTACTATATACACCTCCTTCGAGGAATTTATTTCTCGTATTCGTAGCCTGTCGACAATTAAATCTTCTAATATTGCGTTGACTGTGAAAATGGATCTTGTTACAGTAATTTTCTTACCTTATTCAGTCAGCCTGCGCTATGACAAGAAACGATAGACACGCGTGGAACAGTGCTATTCTTGAGCTTAAGATCGAGGTCAAGTTGATCCTATAAATTATTACCCGAAGGAAAGTACAATTGACAGAAGTATCCAGGCAACAGTGACGCGGGCAATGGTCTGCATTTGAGAGCGCCACAAATTTGCAATTTTCAAACTGAATGCTAATAATGTCCATTATTACGCCACTCTAAAATTAAAAAACTAAACACTCCTTACGACGTACGTAAGAGGATTGTTTCCAATTTTCCATGGCAGCTACTTTAAAAGAAGGAAAAGAAAAAAAAAAAACACGTTCCGTCCGGTAATTGATATTTGAAACTTCGAGTTTAAGAAGAAACGATCACGTTGAGTACATCCGGTTCAGGATGACACTTGAGGCGTTAGATTAAAGCGTATATAGATGTACATTATAAAAGGTTCACTCTATTCGTTAATTCAATCGTAATTCTACGACGTGACGTTACGAAATAATGATAGGCCGAAGCCGCGAAAGGCAAAGATCTGCACGCGATGCTAATCAAGATTTACGCACACGGTTAACGTAATAGCAACCGTGGAAAATAGCGATTTTCTACGGAAACCCGGGCCTACGCATCGACGCGTCTGCGAAATCTATCAAGTGTTCCGGTAAGACGCGTATCAAGCACGCATACATAGAGGATTTCAGGCTGATGCCGCGACCGTGCATGGACTTTCATCGCGAAAGCGTAGCGATAGATACAGAAAAGTGTATTACGTCCCGGAAGAAAATACGCGTCGGTTACCGCAACCGAGAATCGGTGCCTCGTAGAATCTTGTATTAAACAGTTCGTAACTAGATTGCATCGCTTGGCTCATGGCCGAAAGCATATCATTTCCCTTTTCCTTTTTTTTCTGCAACGGGAAATCTCGCTGCTATGCAATTCGCTCGATGATATTGTAACTGGCGTTACTTCTTCTATGATTTTAATCGGTATTCGTTTACTGCAACATTGGAAAACTTTTGGACAAATTAATAGACCAATTTAGACTGTAAATAATAGACTGAAACCAATTTAACGTTCGAATGAGCACCGAAGTAGGAGGATTTATCGTTTTGATTGAACTGAATTTCCGTGGAGCAATTATGTAATATAAAACAATTAATCTGGTACATATCGAGAAAAAGTTTTGAATACCGAAATGATATTTTGCGCTTGATAATCGTTAAAAGCTTTTTTCTTTTCTCATTTTGAAGTGTTTTTGCATGCAACCTTCTTTTATTACGTAAGAAAAATTGTTAACTGAGAAACTTTAGTAAATAATTACTTTTCTTTTTAAAACATGTAAAAGTGGTTAAAAGTAATATAAAAGATAAGATAAATATATTAATAATGTAATTTGGATACTCTACGTTAGGGAGCGCTTTGGTACCTTACTATGCTACAAATGGCCGACACATCAAAAAACAATATCGTGACCGCGGGAAAAAGAATATCGTATTTCCTATTTTCTCGTGTAAATTTGTCGTTTTCACACGTTTAAACAGGTAAAATTAGTGGTATGCTGTCTCGAGACAGTAATGGATCTCACCAGGACGAGGTACGCGGCACAGAAAATTGACTTTACTACGCTATAAAAAATGTATTCTTCGAATTTTAGGTTATATTATTTGTCATTGTGACATACTTTTTTTTATGCGTAATTCCAAATACATAGCTATATATTTGTACCCTTATTCTATTGGTTTATATACAAAACCATCAAAATTAGTACTGAGATTGTATGATGTTTTATATATTTTATATTTCTTATGATTTAAAATTCTGCATTAACATTTGTGCTGTGTTTGAAGTAAATAACATTTATAAGAACTTATTTCTTTTTAATTTATTAACAAAATTATCCTATTCCCTCAAACTATTTAATTTATTGTACTTCGTGGCACGTTGATAAATGCATCCAATTACACTCAAAGGCTGAAATAATAATGTTTTGTAGGAAAGCACTAGTGACAATGGGTCTGATGACTATCCAAGTATACCTATCTCTATGGAAGGCCCAAAAGAATGGACTTATACAATGAGAAGGCAAATGCAGGTATATTAAATATACATATACAACTAAGAGATGTTTGAACAGTATATGATTTAAATTAACAGTTACTTTGTATTAGGAAGTGGTACCTGGATTGTATCTTGGCCCATACAGTGCAGCTAGTCGATCAAAATTACAATCTTTATCAGAACATGGCATAACACATATAGTATGTGTTAGACAGGACATAGAAGCAAATCTTATAAAGCCCAATTTTCCTGACAAATTCAAGTATTAAATATAAAACTTATTAATAGAATCCAGATAAAATGATACATAATAAATTTATGGAAGTGCAATTGTTCTAAAATGATCATTTTATCTAGATCAGTGTGTCTTTCCAACAATCTATACTAATGAGGAATGTTACAGGTATCTTGTTTTAAATATTGCTGACACAGCAACAGAAAATATTATTCAACACTTTCAAAAGGTGAAAGCATTTATTGATGAGGGTTTGAATTCAGGTGGTCAAGTCTTGGTACATGGTAATGCTGGTATATCAAGATCTGCAGCATTAGTTGTAGCATATGTTATGGAAACATACGGACTCTCCCAAGTGTAAATATTTTTTTAAATAGTATATTATGATTTATTTTAAAAAAAAGCTGTTTACAAAAATATACATGTTTCTTTTAGAAATGCATATGCAGTACTACAACAAAGAAGGTTTTGTATAAATCCTAATGAAGGTTTCATGGCACAACTAAGAGAATATGAACCAATCTATAAGGCACAGAAAACATTAAAAAATGGTCAACAAAGTTTAATGGGACAACGAACTAAAAGAACTATCCATCAAATGGATACTGAAAGAACAGAGGATAAATGTGATACAATGGACAGTTGATATTTTTCTAGCAAATGCTGAAGTTACCAAAAGAATTATCTTAAATTGGATAAGGAAAAATAAACTTCACGGAAAGCAACGTTTTTTACGTCGTCGCGTTCTAAAAAATACCTAAATATATAGGTGCATAGTAAAATCACATGTTATATTATTTAATTTCGAATATGATACATAAGAATTAAAAATTTATTGCAATATGACCTTATACATATTAGCTAAACTAATTGTTTATCTATGTAAGCATGGCACTATAACTTCAAAAGTTTTGCCAAAATTTAAACTACAACACACACTAATTTATAATAACGCATAAATTGTAAACAATTTTATAATATAAACGAAATCGCTAATTTTATTTTTTTATTTATTCAGCATTTAAGTTATTCATAACGTGTTACATACATAAAAAAGAAATGCAGGTAATATTTTTAAACCCACCATTATTTATTGCTACAATACAATATTCTACATTTATTTTGCCAATGTATTATTTTCAATAAAAACTGTATGACACTCTTGTATATTCTGTATATTAAGATTATCGAAATTATAAAATATGAAAAATTAAGTTTTTTAATGGTAAATTTTGTATTTATTCCATACAATTTTTGTAAAATACATAGGTTGTCAAAAATAGAATAGCAAGAGATCAATTAATACTACCTATTTTATTCTTGCTGGAACCAGTATACAAACAATGTTTTCATTGTTCTCATCCTTAAGTTGCCATTTTACAGTAACAGCTAACTATAATTTAAACATCGAAACGATTAATTAATAATGTGTCTGTAGAAATAATGATATGATATGTAGCTTAATACTTAGTTATCACTCTATAGTACCTTAGGATAACTCTTGTGCACTGGTAATACATTTTTATAGTGATATGAGCCACCTTTTTCTAAAGGACATGAAACATCAGATGTCGGAGTTGCACAAGCATTTGCATTTGCTAGTGGGAAAGGTATGGAAACATCCATTATAATGCCATGTACTACTGCAGTAACTGCTGAAACGTCTTTATCTGTAAGAATATGTTTAATTCTTTTGACTGTCTTATGTTTAAAAGCACAAAAAGCATGTTTAAGAGGAACATACTAACCAACTGTAAAATCTATTTCAATTGATGCATTTGTATTTGGTATTAAGTCACATATACTTTTTTTCATATCACAACCCAGAGTTACAGATGTAAATTTTCCAATTTTCGAGCCTGTATAAAAAAAAAAATGTATTGAATATAAATAATACTATATTGAAATATTACTGTGAAATTTCGTAATAAGAGTTTTCTGCTTATATTTACTTCGGCATAAAAAAAATGACCCGATCGGTCATTTATTTACGATCGGGACACAATTAGTTGAATAAATGGTCATTCTCTATTCATATCTTCCATGTAAATGACTTTTTACACTGACACAACTATAAAGGATTAGTAACTATCATAACTCGTGACTTTGAATTTCTGGTACAGACAAGAATTTCCGTCATTTTTAAAACTACCTACTATTAGACCAATTGTATACTTCTTAACCGATAATTAAGTCTTCAAGTTAAGTTTCAGTTTCAGTTAAACAAAAATTTGTTTTTCTAACAAAATAATTTTTCATTTATTTATAATATGAATCATAAATTACAAAGAAAAAATTAAATTTATATATGTTTAAATAAATTGATAATATATCTCGAGCAAATTATAAACAGTTTTTAGATGATTCAAATGATATAGAATTTAACAAATAACTTCCAAATCTATTTACAATATTTTTGCTTTATAATGCACAGAACAAAGGAAGCTCGTTTGTTATCTCACACAATACGCGGTGCATGCCTCTGTTTATCGGAAATACACATGTACTTTATGTATAATATTCAATATTTTAGTATGTTTATTATCAGTAACCAATATTTTCCAAAATAAGATTAACCAATTTATTTTTACATTCATGAACAATTGCATAGTATTAATTGTAATGAATAAACATTATTAAAATTCAACCGACCAAATATATTAGGAAATTCTCTTTTACTTACATACTTATTGTTAAAATATTAAAATAACAGAATTAGTATATTATAATTGCTTTACTTCATATTCCAATAAATCATTTAAAACAAAATCCTTTGTATTTTATCAAGTTTATTTGTATTGTGGCAATTTTGAGAGTATCATTAGATCGTCTCAGTTTTTTCAAGTCTAACTAATTAAATATATAAAATATTAATTACATTTGGAACAGTATCGATAAACAAATAAATCACTTTAACATTCAAAGAACATGGATATGACATTACGTTTTTTATGTATTTCGCGACAATTCCACGTTGTGTGAATATACAAAACCAGAATGAAACGTTGATTGATCCAATAATGGAAAATAGTGAAATCAAAACTTACCACAATCCTGTACGTCGAAGGCTCGACATGTCGGTGAGAAGCTCAAGTAACATAACAGAAGAATTGCAGCAATCATTCGACGCATCTTGTTCGCTCGAAGTCCGCGCAGTTATTAAAGCTGTACGAAGCTCCATATCGAAACAAACATTGGTCAACTACTCACTGAACACATCACGCCACTCACACTGTTTCTAAATTACGGATCTTAACATGTTATGTACTAAATCACTGTGTATTTGCACAGACAAGATATAAGAAGTCTATGGTACTTCCTACGAAGTGTGGTGTTTTGCATGTAGACAGGATATAATTTTTGTTTTAGTTTTCATTTCACGTATTCGACTAGAATTTTCGCAGCACCAATTAAAGAATCATATGAATAAAGCTTTTTTATCATGAATTTGCTTCTTCATATAGAACACTACTTTATCGAATGAAGGAAAAATAGAAAGAAAAGAAAATTGAACAGCAATTAATGTAAATTGTATTACTGACAGCTGATTTGTAACACGATTAAACTATCTACTGTCAATAAATGTTTTATTATCGATGTGAAGTAACTGTTCGACTACAGAAAGCTACAAGCACAAACGACGTATAGGATAGACCTTGCATCTTTACATCGATAGACCGAGAAGACCCTTACCATTTTCGTGTCGCTACACGATTCAGCATAGAATACGATTACAACATTAGTAGTGATTGGAATTGGAATTAAACATAACTATGAAATTACAAATAAAAAAGTAACGTAATTGATGTAAAGATCGTTAACAGTTCTACCCAAGCAATCCAATATACATATGTATGTATCTTTATATACAAATTTAATAAAAGGGGATTTTTTATATCTGTCGACTTTACCATCTTTGATGGTTGGATTGTATGTAATTTCTAAACTCACCACTTTATATCGTAGAAGGCATAACAAAAACTCTGATTTTTTACACGATCGGTATTTCAGAACGTTGGACACAAAAATACATTAGGTGCAAGGTCTATCCTGTACCTCATCTATGGTACACGACAGACGAGATATAGAGTAGATCACTCATCCAATGTATTTTTTTGTCACACGATCACATTAGTCCTAGAACCCCGTTACCACCATCCTACTATATCGATTGGGACTGGTATTGTATCACTGCGCTATTAGTGGTAGGAATTGAAATCAAGAATACTTGGCATTTGTTATTTTAAATAATGAAGGAGACAAAATTTCGAATCTTAGAATGAATCAGAATGGATTCAGTCACACACATTTGCGTTTTGGGATCCAAGGGTGTATTGACAACACAGTAATAATGTACACACGATCAATATCGATCGTTTTGCGCAATTGCGACAACCGTCGGGAGACGTCGGTATTTTAAATTGTGTGACAAAAAGTCCCATAAGATGATTGGTCTACCCTATATCTCGTCTGTGGTTTGACCATTAGAAATTTTTTTTAGAGGTTTTTTGTAGAGATTTATATCATGTAAATGATTGCATCTTCTTACTTCTAATTATAATGTAAAATACTTTACAATTACAAAATAAACTTATTGGCATTTTTTTATCAAATAATTCTACCTTGTTATATATAGCACGCCAAACAATTTGCATACAGCTATTTAATAATACCTAAATATCTATTAGGAAGTGAAAGTAGAAAGTTAAACGAATAATTATTGTTATTAAATCGTAATAATTTTGAATAGGTATAATTAATTATTGTTTATTATTTTTCTATAAAAGGATTGTAAAACTTTTCATGCTAAAATAGCGCGTGGCAACCTCCTCGCTACGCATGCGCGACCACGTACGATATTTAGCCAACAACACACTTGCCAACAAACACTTCAGTGCCTTTTGATAGTATTGTTAGGTGTCCGTTTGTTTACTGCATTTATTACACTATGTCATCCGGCGGCTGGGAATTAGTTGGAAGAAATAAAAAGGATAAAAACAATGGAAAAGTCAATAAACTCACAAAGGCAGAAAAAAAGAAATTTATCGAAAATGCGCCAAAAGTGGAAGATTTTCGTAAGAGCTTTCTTTTAACCTCTGTTCACTTTTACCTTTTTATATGATATTGTTAGCAAAAATTTTTTTTAACTTGTAAATACTATTGTTCAAATAAAATATCAATACAAATCTTATCAGCATACATGTCAAAAAATGTCTAACACAGATTTACAGTATACAGATAAAAATATCTTTGTCATGAAATTATTTGTTTCAGTTCCCTTGAACCAAGTGAAAACTTTGTATGATAACTTGGATAATAATAAAGAAAATAAAAAACCATCGAAGGAGAAGGAAAACAAAATAAAAGAAAATGAAGAGAGAAAAAGACAACAAAAACAACAATCTGAGAAGAAGAAGGAAGAACCTAAGGCAAAGCTTCCAAAGTCTATAAAAGATGCATTAAATGCGGTACATATACATGTATATTTGAAACTTACCCTTTATGTGATTTACATGTAAGTTTACTGATAATGAAACTTCATTTGTAACAGATTGATGCAGATGAGCTTCAGATTGTTTTGACTACTAGTCAAAATAGATTTCCTGAGGCTCCACTGATTTGGTTAAAAGATCTTGCTGCCTTTCTCAATGTAAAAATACCTATTGATAAAGAAGATGCTGTTTTCTCTGGAAAACCTAAAGATTATCCATTAAGTATAGTACCTAAACCAATTTCTTCCACCTTAGAAAAAGCCATTGAAGTAGCAGGGAAACAAACAGCGCAACTTTTTTATGAAAACACTCTAACTACAATGGCTACTGATATGGTTAAAGGAACACCTGTTGTGGGTCACAAAATATTTTTACAACTTTTAGCACACACTAATCCTGAAATGACAGTGGCCAATATTCCCAAATTGATCCGTGCAAAAAGTTCTTACCAAAATAGAAAAACTATTGGTTTATCTCTGCTATGGGCTTTATCTCAAGCTGGTAGAAGAAACTTGGCTGTGGGTTTAAAAGTGTGGCATGAAGTAATGTCTCCCATGTTAGAAACAAAAAGTTATTGTAGTTATGTAGTAGAAATTTTGAATGATCTTGTATTTGAACATGAAAATTTTCATGATCTTAAACCAGAATTTTATCTTGATATTGTGGAAGATACATGTTCTGGAAAGTATAATGTTCCTGCCAGTGTAGGCAGAGAAATCAATAATAGCATTGAAAAATTAAGAGTAAGTATTCAAATATTACAAATTTAAGTAACCAAAATAATCAAGTATACATTTTTTTTTGTTTTTTTTATAGTTAATACTTTTTAAAAACAAAAATTTAAGTTATGTGAAACTGTTTGAAATGTTAGTTACAAAAGTTACACAGAAAGTACATGCAAACTACAGGGATGAATTAATTAAAGCACTTGTAAAATGTTTGGCTACAGACCCACTTTGTTTTTCTGTCTGGATATCTCTTTATGCCAAAAATTTGTACCAATCTCAATTGATGTTAACATACATTGGTAAGGCCATATTGGTTAGGTTTTCTAAAATAATGAATGTACTTTTCAAACTTAATACCACTTAATATTTTAGATACCAAATGGTGTACATTACACACAACATTGGAAACAAAATTTTTAAAAGAAACGTGCATAGTATTTCAGACAACTAATGAGAGGTGGAAAAGAGGTAAAGATGAGAATCTCTCTCACAGTTGTAATAAAATATGTAAGGTAGGTTTAAACTTTCGTTTTAAGCTTTGTGTATTAAATACAATCAATATTCATGTGAGAATAGTATTTTAATGTCAAATGAAAGTATTGTAAAATACGAACATTAATATCACGTGATACAAGTTCTATTTATGCAAAATTTTTTGAAATAACCCGCGTAACCCCTGCTTGAATTATTGTATACTTTACGTATGCGCGAAGGCACGTAGTGTGGGAAAACCACGTAACGTATAAATTGTGTTTTGGCTAATTGCCGACGTTTGCACGTGAAAACCAACATTTAAATACTACCACAATTTTCGCAATAATTTTTGAAACTTTTGCTCAAATTTACTTACATTTTGATAAAATTGAATACGCAGCTCTCGATCGTTGCCGATAAATTCAAATCCCAAATATAACTTAGGTTAGGTAAGCTTGTTTTTTCGGGAGACGACTATCGATCGCACATTGTCCCTTCGACATCGTTACTGACGACATTAATATCATTCGTCGTATTACTTTTTTGTAATAAAAAAATACATATTAAACATAATACCATAAGATAGTTAGTTTCGAAAACATTTTTATTTTTCATCAACGGTACGAGTAAGAAGTATGTATTCTCAAATCAAAAGTGTATAATTCGTTTACAACCATGAATGACAGAATTGTTTGTCTGATATTCATGTTGACCTTTAGACTTGCTAATAGGAATATTATCAGTATTTTACGTTGTCAATAAATTACTACGATAATTTAATATGTTATCAATTCTTTATTCCAGGCATTATTATTGAAAATGACAGCTTCTGCAAGTAAGAAATTTCCATGGAAAAAGGGAATTATTTTGCTATTATTTTTTATTAGTGTCGTTGTTGGTTATGATATTTACCAACACGGTAATTTCGAAGGTAATAGATAAAAAAATTGTTTATCTTATTTCAAATATCACTCAATTATAAGTTTTATATTAATATTGAAACTCTTTAGAATCCCACACAGGTAAGTTCTTGAAAAAGAGTGGATTGTCTGCATATGGGCAACATTCATGGATTGTGGTGCAAGGATATTCATCTAAAGCACTTGAATTTATAGAAGCCACTTCACCAGAATATTATAAAGTTACTGTGGAAGCATGTAAACCTTATATCAAATTGGCTGGTGATGTTTACCTTATAGTGAGAAATGTTTCTCTTAAAGTTTATGATAATGTTGCAGAATATGCTGGAAAGAAAGGACCTTTGGTTTTACAAACAGTAAGTATTGATGATTTGGATGTAAGGTGTGTATGCATAATATGAATACTTTGTATGCTTTGTAGATAGAGCATTATGTTCCAGGGATATTGGATGAAGTTAAATTACGAAGTAACCAGAGTTTAGAATTTGTGAAGGTTTACTCAAACTTATGTGTAGAGAAGCTGTGTGAACATTCAATTGCAACACTTCGATGGCTTGAAAAAAATGTTTTTGTGTAAGTATGAAAAATTTTTGTGAAATATAACCAGTTATGGTTCATGATATTGTTATTCTTTTAGCGGAAAATTAAGTCCAGAAAGTTTGCAAAATTATGCTTCAAAAGCTATTGACACCACACAAACATTGGCAAGTCAAACTTATGATTGGGTCTATGAAAAGGTGCAAACACTTTCTAAAGTTCCATGAATAAAATTCATTGGACTTCGCGAACCGATTTTCTCGGTAATAAAAATCTCCTCCCACACCACTGCATTTAGTTCTATGATTCCAAAGTTGATACTACACATTTCCAAATATATTGTGGCGCCATTTTACCTGTGATATTTGAAAAATGTATCATATTCCAACTCATTATGACATTTTAAAAATCTACAAATTTAATGTGAATTTCAGTTTCTTTTTTAAGTAGAATGTAAGACTCTTTTCTTCAAAATAATTATTAAAGTAATATATAAACTACTCTATTTAGTACCAAACTGGAACCTCTTGTTTTGTATATTCATTAATATATTTTCATTCAATGTTTTTAATGTGGTGATTGATGATAATATAACAAGTTAATATATGAATTGAACAATTTTTTAAATAATTCTTTTTTTTT